ACTCTGGGCAAGGAAGGATTTTTTCTTTCATCTGGCATGTCTGTAACCTCTTCATTGCTTCATCTTAATGTTGAAGTGGCCCTGGGCTCTAAAGGGCCAGACCAGGGCACCCAATGCTATTGAAGGCCCTACTATGCTGTAAAGGGTTTGAGACCGACCTTGATGATAAACTAAGCTCTTCATCTATTTTCAGAGAGCAGCCTAATAAAGCTGGAGAGATTTATCAATCAATTAATCCTCAACAAACATGTACTAAGCAACTCCTATGTGGTAAGAGATGGGGATAAAACCAATGAGGGCAGCTGGGGTATTTCTCTAGGGTGCCAAAATTTAGTGGGTACTAGTAGCACTTGCAGATAGAAATTGATAGAAACAGATAGAAACAATAGATAGAAACAAAACACCCTGGCACCTTAAAGCAAAACAAAACTGTTTTTCTCTGAACGTCACCTTTTACTATAGGAATCTGTAGTGTCTTATGAAACATCTATTGGTTTTAGTCAAAGGAGACTTGGGTAGGATGTACTATTGATAGACCTAACTAGAGTGGGGTGATTGGGGTTTTGCTCTGAGGTGTTTGAAATTCAGGGGCCTGCTTCCCTCCTCACCTCATTGATTTCCCATACTTAATGCTTCTCTACTGTCCCTGAACAATGGCACTTTACATCTGAAGTACAATTTCCTCCTTTCCCCAACCTGCCCTTGGTGGTAATCTCCCCAGCAACAGTCTCTCTGTATCCTGAGGTCTCTCCTGAATAGGTTCCCATGCCTATAATGGTCTATTCTTGACAGCCTCACCTTTCCACTCAACCTGGTGCTTGGCCAAGGCTCCAGAATTGCTAACTATAGCTCTGAAACCACAGCTTTGACCCAGGGTGACATTCCTGAAGGTCTTATGCTTTAAATTAGTATAAGCTTCCTCCCTCCTCTACCCACCCCTCCTGGTATCCCCTCTGCATAGTCAATGATGGGTCTTGGGAGTAACATCTTAATCAGTCATGATTCCCTTCCTGTCTATAAACCTGGATATATGCTAGATAATGTCCAGAAGGTGCTGGAAGAGGAAGTATGGTATAGTGAATTGAAGGCTGGTTTTAGAGTCAGGAAGACCAGGGGTCAAGCCCTGCTTCTGACTCATAGGGACTGTGTGACCCTGGGCAAGTCACTTAACCAATAAGTGTTCTAGGTAACTAAGACTAAAATTCAGAACAGCTGGTAATTTGTATTGGTACAGTTCTCTCATCTGGAATTTCCTATGCCAATGAAATCATAGGTTGGGCCCAAAAATATGTAAAGAAGACCAGACAAGCAACTGCTGTGACTTAGAACAGTGTGTCACCTTGTTTTGTTAAATTCAAATGAAGGAGGGCAAAAAGGAAATGAGTGACCCTGGAGGACAGAAAGAGTCGTCTCCTGTCTCCACTCACCTACTTTCCCTCCCCCATTTTTATTGCCTAAACTACATGTGAGGAACTTAGTTTTCAGGGGTGAGGGATGTTAGCCCTCTACATTTATTACTGAGTATTCCTTTCTAATTATTTATTTATTTTTACCCAACTTCACCCCATTACTCAAGCCATTTTCCCATCCCACAGATCTCCCTGTTAACGTCACCGAGATGATTCTAGCCTACAGTTTGATGTCAAGATGTGTCACCCACAGGAATGCTGGTGGAGTGTTTACAGTCGGGGATGTAGGAAGATATGCTATGTGTCTGTGTCACATGCAATCACTTGATTTCATTGTCGTCAGAAAGTGGGGGTGGCATTCTGGCCCTCCAAATGCCAGCTACTCAGCCTAAGAGCTATTTTATCATTACTTCTTCCAGTCACTACAGTCAGCCAACATTTGGCCAGTGGCTTCTTGGAGATCCATCTCATTTTTCTTGCAACCATTTGCTAACAGTCACTGGTGTATTTACAGTTTTTTTCCCTGGGTTTTGATATGATTGCATCTGGGAAAGTGGAAATCAATGAAGTATTAGGTAGAATGTGCCAACTGAATAACGGAGGTGATTTGGAATCTCAGACATCTCTTTGTACCAGGTGGGGGAGTCAACACTATGGAGTCGTGAGGAGGTCCAGGCATAGCTTCTGGCAGATATAAATGAATACCTTGTGCCCTGAAGTTTAGACTAGTTTTTGAGAATGGGACATAGGAGCGCACTTTTGAACCACTGGATCTCCATGGTTCTCAAGGGCTGAGCATTATATATAATCAGCCTCACACACACTTAGAATGTTGGGATTTTAGAACAAAAGGGCATCGATGATCATGTATGACATATTTTTTTTTTTCTGATTTTGTTGGCATAGGAAACTCCCAGGAGAGGAAACTCCCTCTATTAATGAAGGTCAACAGCATTTCTACAACTTAGGTCTTAGAGGATTTCATGGGGGGATTGAGACTTGTCCAGGATTACATAACCAGCATGTGTCAGAGGCAGGATTTGAACACAAATCTTCCAGACTCTGGAGCCAGCTTTCTATTCACTGTGCCACATGGTAAAATTCCATTTTATAGATGGGGGCACCACGGCCCATGGTGATGTAATTGGAGGCAAAGCTGAGACTAGAACCCTGATTCTAATTCATTATATGACTTAGTTCATTTTAACTCCTTCAGTGTTTTAAACTGTCCTTGGAACATGTTTTTTATGTATAAGATGCCACAGAAATGCAAACTTTTTGAGAGCAGAGATTTAAATTTTGTTTTTATAGCTCTAAAATCTAGCATAATGCCTGACACATTGCATGTGCTTAATATATGTTTGTTGAGTGACTGAAAACATTTATATTGAGGACAATGGCTATTTCCATAGCATACTAAGCTACTCTTTCATTCTACCCATACTGTTTCTCACACCCAACTAACCCCTAGAAGAGAGGGAGCTTCCTTGGGGTTAATATGGAGTAAGGCTATATTAGCTCATCTAGACTTTCTTTTTCGGTCTCATTGCCTGGCTATCACTTTATTCTGACTTAAAGCACAAGTTGGGAAGCTTTTTGCTAAAAAATAAACCTTGAAGGAGAAATCTTCCTTCAATATTGCCCACTCACTCTTGGCCCACTTGTAGGAGAGCATAGCAGGTACTTGAGACGTCTTCAGAAGTATTCTTCTGAGCTCTCTTTGCTACTTTAGAATCATAAAGATTTCTCATCTATTGTCACTACATTGTCCTTTCTGTGTAATAAAAGCATTTCAATCTGATTTCCCAACTTTTCACAATATTGTGTGTGTATGTGTATATGCGAGCATAGACCAGAGCCACAACTAGGGTGGGACAACTGGAATATTACCCAGTTTGACAAATTTAGGGGGTTCTTTGTGTATGTGCAGTCCTTTAGCAACAGAGTAACATCTGAGCTTACTAAGTATTTCTAAGAATACTAGATAAAGTAGAAAATGACTAGCTGGGGGCTGCAGTAAGGTCCTCTTCCTCTCTCCTTTGTTCTCCCCCACTCCAGCCTCCCCTTACCGTGATAGCTTTTCTAGCAGTGGCCTTGTGTTGGTGTCCTAGGGCATCCCCCCACCGCATCCCTTAGTCATCTGGGGTTATGCTTCATGATTCTAGCCCTAGGCATTGTCTGTGCTACCTATTTTGGGTCCCAGAATTCCCAGTTATGGTTCTGGCATGTGTCCATGTTAAAAGGACTTTTATTAATCAACTATTAAAAAAATGAGTCAGCATCATAAATTCATGGGTTCTTGGACTTCTCAGTGGCTAAAAATTTGTTTGTAAACTCAGAACACAACAGCTATTCAAACCTGGCAGCTTTAATGGATTTTTTCTTTTTCTTTTTAATTATACATAAGAGCCTTGATTATACCCCAGGGATTTATTTGCTTAAGAAAAGTCAAACTATGGATTACAAGATTGAAGATTAATTTCCACCTCATCAGATTAATTTTACTGTTCACTCCACAAGTATGATTGTAAAACCTTGTATTAGCTAAAAAGTTTTCAATACTATATTACAAAAAAGTACTTAAATATGGATAAGACTGATTGAAGATGGTGTTTTCCCTCTGTTTGGTTATTGAGGCTTGGGGGAAAAGCAGGACATACTCATTTAGAATCAATCTCTCATTGATTTCCCAGAACACAGTAATTAATTAGGGTGCTAATAGAAACAATCTCAAATCTGTTATTCAGTTCAAGTGTCAGTTAAGAAAAAAGGTCTGGACTGCTTATAAAATATAACAAAAGGAAGGGATTGTAAATAGAAAAATAAAGTATGCAGAGGAGAGAAACATTCTGAGCACATTGCCTTAAGATCCCCACAGAGAAACAGATCAAGAGACAATACGTTCTTTTGCCTGCCTATAAATCTTTCACCTTCTCTGCCTAATGCATCTACTATCTAGTCTTCTTTAAGAAAGCATTCCAATAAGCTTTGCCTACTAAACAGGATCTTAATGTCCAGAATGATGTCCAGGGGTGGGGAACCTGTGTGATTGGGGCCACATGTGGCCCTCTAGGTCCTCAAGTCTGGTCCTTTGATTGAATCCAAACTTCACAGAACAAATCTCCTTAATGAAAGGATTTGTTCTGTGAAGTTTGTATTCAAAGGGCCAAACTTGAGGATCTAGTGGGCCAAATGTGACCTGGAGGCTGAAAGTTCCCCACTCCTGTATGCTGCAGAACAGCTCCATTGAGAAATGTTGACAATTAATAGGATGGGAGACTTCCAGTGCCAATATGGGTACACTCAAGTGAGGCTTTATAGAACTATGGGTGGCTGTCACCATTCACTGAAATCTTAAGATGGGCAGCTCTTTGCTGGTATCATCCCCTCCCCTCTTAGCAGGTCTAAGACTGGGATCAAAGCTATTCCTTTTCTCCCGAAAAGACAGGTAGTAGTTACAATAATATGACTAGTAAGAACAGAGCTTCTTCCATTTTCAATCCTGTTAAAAAGCTAACATTGTTGTGAGTAAAAAACAATAAAAAAATAGGTGACCATTTTTATTTCATCTTTACAGTGATATGGTAGCAATACAAGGAAAACGGTGAATACCCTTGCTGAAGGTATCCTGGTCCCATCTCTTGCTAGAGGGTTCGGTTTGGAGAAAAAGAAAAGGAATTTTTTTTTGTTTTTGGCTGCAGCTTTGGTAAACAATGAATGACAAAATACATTGCAGAGATGTCTCTGAGAGAGATGATGACTCCGAATACAGAATACGCCACACCACGTTCATTGACAAATGATTCACTGCATCCTATCTCAGTGGAAGGGGAGAAGGAAGTCCTAGTGTCACCAGGAAAACAAACAAACGAACAAACCAACGAACCGAGAGTATGAAAACAATCAACACCCAACTGTGGGGGTCCTCCACCCCGTCTTCTACAGAATAGAAACATCACGTTTGCATATCAAACAGCAGCTGCGTTATTGCTCTATGTATCGGAATCAATTAAGGAACTCATAATAGACGACACGTTACAAACTTAAGGTTCTTTGGTGAAGAATGAGAGAAACCAGTATTTGCACGTTAAAGAAAAACCTTGTTCGGCTAGCCTGGCCTCTATCTGTTGATTCGCTGGATGCGTTCGCAGAGCAAGGAGAGGTACTGCGTGAGTTTCACCATGGCAACAATGGCCACGCCCCCACTCATCATGCACGTGGGCCAGAAGAGGGAGTGGAACAGCACGTTGGAGCTGTAGAGTTTGGTTAAGATGACGTTCTTTTGGCTGCCAGATGGGTCGGAGAAGCAGGAGAAGCGTTGGTACTTCCTGAAATTCTCCATCACCACGTTCACCATGGAGAGGGACTCTTCGAAGTTCTTGCCACACTTCGGTATGTAAGAACACTGTGGAGAGATGGAGGGAAGCTCGTTGAAATGCATTATTTCCTTTTTTCCCCCTTACCTAAATATATGAGCATAGACTTAGAGTTGAAAGCTCTGGGCTTCAGGAGCCCCTGGGCTCAAGACTGGCTTCTGTGAGAATATGGGCAAGTCAAGAAACTCAAGATCTGACCGTGTCCTCTCCTATAGGAGCTTCGGCAACTCTCTGTAAGTCCAGGATAAAATCTAAACTCTTCTATTTGGAATTCGAAATCCTTGACAATGTAACTTGTGAATTTCCAGTATGATCCCATTTTATCCTCCAGCATACATTCTACATTCTAGTCATCTTGCTTTACTTGCTGTTCCCCTTCAAAAACATTCATCTCCTTTCTCTGTTTCTGTGCCCAGGCTTTCCCTTCCTTCCTCGCTTCTTGGAAATTCTAATTCCTTAAGGGCTCTTTTCAAATGTTGATGCCAACAAGAGGCCCTTTGGGATCTTCCTTAGTTGCTATTGCTTTGGTCCCTGTCTTTCCCTGCTCCCTGAAAATTATTCTTATTTATTTTGTATATATCTATATCTTGTATATCCATCCAGCTATCTAATCTATCTCTTGTGTACATATATGTGTATACACACACACACACACACATATATCTCCTGTACACATGAACACACACAGAGCTAGATGATACAATAGATAGAGCAGTGGGCTTGAAGCCAGGAAGACCTGAGTCAAATCTGATGCTTCCTGGCTGTGTGACCCTGAGCAAGTCACTTAATTCCTGTTTGCCTCATTTTCCTCATCTGTAAAATGGGCATAATGACAGCACCTACATTGTAGGACTGTTGTGAGTATCAAATTGTACAATAATAATTGTAAAGTGCTTAGCATGGTACCTGGCACGTAGTATACACTATAGGAATGTTAGCTAATATTATTATCTTATATTTACTTATTGGTATATGTGTTGTATCTCTATAGTAGAATGTAGACTTTTTGAGGGTAAGGACTGTTCTGATTTTGTCTTTGTATACCCATCGTATACTGCAGTACTCTATACATAGTGGGAACTTAATATATGCTTGTTGGATGTATAAATGAATTTCTCTGAGCCTTACATTCTTCATCTCTATGTAACCAGGAGAGGAGTTTAAAGGAGTTTGAAAGGAAATTTCTTTGATGAGTTCTTTTGAATGAGTTTTCAGGACAGTGTTTAGAACATGTGATGAGCCCTTCTCCCTATAAAGTATGGATGTAACCACTGTTAAGAAAGCAAAGACACTAGCTGTGTGACTCTGGGCAAGTCACTCAACCCCAATTGCCTCACCAAAAAAAAAAAAAAAAAAGAAAGCAAAGACAACTACTGATTGGTTTTCAGTAACTGGAACTGTCTTCAGATGATTTGGTAGAATGGAGCATGGAGGGATTTAAGACTAGGACGTGGGAAGAGAGTGGAAAAGCATCCATTAAATATTTACTATGAGGTAGCTGTGACATGGTCACTATAGAGCCAGAGTTCTGAATCTTCAGCACACTGACTGTGTAACTCTAGGCAAATCACTTTGCCTCTGAGTGCTCTAGGGAACTCCCTAAGATGCTAAGTTTCAGAGAAGAAGCTGACCTAACTTTGTTCAGGGAGATTCCTCATCCAGAAGTTTCCTATATCGGTGAAATCACCTATACCTAACCTATAGGTATAGAAGTATAGTTATAGAAGTACCTATACCTAACATGGGCCTAACATGTGGCTAAGTTATAAAGATACAAATAGAAAAGTGAGACAGTTTCTGTTCTGAAGCAATCACACCTCAAAACAGGGGAGATAACTCCACATAACTACAGTGCAGGTAATGAGACCTAGTGGACCTTAGGCATCACTGGAAGGCCATATCCCTCACCAAGGGTTGGTGGAAAAAGAGTAGTGGGCACAAGGGGTGGAGCAGAGTGGGGTTCTGGGTTATCTTTAGCTCCAGTAGGGTTGGATTTTTCCAGTAGGGTGAGGGAGCTGGAAGGAGAAAATCAGCAGCCAGCTGAGAAATGGTATTCAGTCCCTGGTGGGAACTGGGCAGTAGGTGCTGGGGAGGGGAAGAGGAAAATCTTTGGCTTTCTGACACCTACTCCTTCAGGATCCTTGGTACACCCACAGGCATCTGGGCAGTGTACACTTCGGGTGAAGGGAGGGAAAGGTTCTTGGCTCTCTCTGTTCCTTCTGGGCTCTTGGGCTACTTGCTTGGGCAAACAAAGGGAAAAGAAGACTTGTACTTTGCTCCTTGCTTTATTGGGAGTTTTTCAGACAGTGGAAGTCTGATAGAAAGGGGAGTGCCTGTCCAACAGTCCCAAATTCTGTTTATCTTTTAGGACCTTAGGATGGCACTAAAAGCTTGGGAAGGTCTGTATAAGATGCTATGAAAGGGCTCATCAAAATCTTAATGTGTTGTCCTGACACCCCAAATTTACTTCCTTTCCAAGGAAGGATTATGAATGACTAAGAGTGTTTTTAGTGTTTTCAGTATTTCTTTATTGGCTCTTGAGAATAATGTATGTTTTCTATATTTTATTTAGGGCAAAATAAAGGCTCTCTTCTCCCCTATATTCATTTGTTACCTTGATTGTTTTTACAGGAGCTGGGGATCCTATTACCATTCCAGTTCTCACTGGGTGAATAGAGAGTTGCGGCCCTGGAGAACATCTTCGAGATGACTTGTTGGACAAGTAAGCATAATGAGGAGTGGAGATGGGAAGGGACCTGTCTAAGATCACATAGCAAGTTAATACTACAGCCAGGTCTAGAACCCAGTTTTGTTTTTTTTTTTTTGGTCTAATTCTCCTTCCACAATACTATAGGTCCAGGACAATGCATAGCTGGGCTAAGAGGTGGCATGGAAAGATGCTGGACTGAGAGTCAGAGGCCCTAAGCTTGAAACCTTGTTCTGCTACTGCCTGTGTGATGTCAGCACATCAGTCAACATCACTAGGCCTCAGTTTCCTCACTTGTAAAATGAAGGGGTTGGATTGCATGACCTCTGTGGTCTCTTCTAGCTCCATGATCCTAAAATGCCCAAAGCAACCAAGTTTAAAGGAAAAAACCAGACCACTGGCTGATTGTTTTGACTATTCCAGGGGAAGAGTAACTTTTTCTGAATTGGCTTTCATTTAGCCCTTGGGGTGATGGTAATTTATTTGTAGTATCACTTTTAGAAAGTAAGTCCAATTTCCCTCGGGTGGGCTACTCCACTTATGCCATTTAGAGTGGACACTTCCTGGTGAAAGTTAAAGAGTATTCCCAGGACCTGTGGAGAGTAGTTAATGAGCCTTTTAGCATACATGATAAGCTGCCATGAGCATGGCCCATATGAGCAGCAGGGCAGGGTAAGAACTATCTAACTCATCTGACATGGGCCTGAGAGGCTCTATCTTTTTGTTTCTCTTCTCTCTTTCTCTCTCCCTCTCTCTTCTCTCCCTCCCCCTCTCTGTGTTCATGTCTCTCTCCCCCTTCTCTGATATCTCTATTCCTTCCTTTTTCTCTTTCTCTTTTTCCTCCCTCTCTCCCCCTTCTTTGTCGTATCTCTCTCCCTTCCTTTTCTTTCTCTTTCTTTCTTCCTCCATCTCTCCTCTTCCTCCCTCTAGCTTTCTCTCTCTACCCCTGCTATCCCTTTTCCTCACTCTCCCTTCTCTCTTTCTCTCTCCTCCTCTTTTGTCTGTCTTCTCTCTCTCTCCCTCTCTCTCTCTCTCCTTCTGTCTTCCTTCTCTCCCCCTCTTTTTGACTCTTTCCCTTTCTGACTTTCTCCTCCTTCACTCTTAGTTTGTCTCTCTTTACCTTTCCCCTTTGCCTTTCTTCTACCATTGTTTTTCTTACTTTTTCTCTTCTCTTCTTTCTCTTAATGACTGGTCATAATATGGAACTTCATTATTTTGAATGTAAGGGATAGAGTCTCCTCTCCTCCACCTCAATTAGCAAGATGCTCAACATTCATACCTTTATCAGGTGGAAACAGCATTTACTATATTTACTGAATCAAATCTCATGTTCCTGTTTTTTTATTTTAAAAGCAGGTTAGTTGATCATCTTATGTTTTTCTAAGAAAAAATGTTACTTTTTACTCGTGTGTTCCTTGATGTCATCCCCTTCCTTGGGTCAGTGAGAAAAAAAATGTTTTTTTATCCCCTGCCTAGTCTACACAATGCAAACACTTTTTCTTTTCTTTTCTTTATTTGAATCAACCATCCAGAGATGAGGTGAGCCTGTGGGTTAGGAATGAAGTTCTTGTGGCCTTAGCATGGACCATGGTTAATTTTGTCCTAGAGTTTGTGGGTCCAAGGATAAAAAAGATGGGTTTTTTTTCTTTGTGGTTAGGATACATAATTTTATTGGTGTAAGAAGCTGCTCAAGAGGAAACTCTGCTAGGCATTCTGGCACTGGATTTTCAACCTATGATTTTAGAGAATTGCCCAAAATCACCCAGTCAGTATATGTCAGGGGTGGGATGCAAACCTTGGCATCTCAGACTTCAAGGCTAGTTCTCTATTCACTATGCCGTTGAAAGGGAAAATGGGTTGGCTTTGGCTTGCTCTTTCTGCTGACTTTCCTGGTGGGGCTCAGGGATGGTGGTGCCATGGAGGGGCATGACCTTTACCAGCATTACCAAGAGGATCTCCCCTTCATTGGGCCAGAATGAATGCTGTGCACTTTGCTTTTGATCAGTGGAACCACATTTCATGAGGTGGGTTCTATCTTAACATGGTTTGATCAATACCTTAACAGTCAGAAAGCAAACATTTGTTAAATGCCTACTGTGTGCCAGGGGGCAGCTAGGTGGTACAGTGAAGAGAGTGCCAGGTCTAGAGTCAGGAAGACTCACCTTTCCAAGTTCAAATCTGGCCTCAGACACTTACTAGCCATGTGACCCTGGGCAAGTAACTTGACCCTATTTGCCTCAGTTTCCTCATCTGTAAAATGATCTTGAGAAGGAAATGGCAAACCATTTCAGCATCTTTGCCAAGAAAACCTCAAATGGGGTCGCGAGGAGTTGGACATGACTGAAAAAACGACTGTGCAAGACATTGTGCTAAGTTCTGAGTAAAAGAAACAAACAATAAAAACTAAACAGCCCCTGCCCTTAAGGAGATCCTAGTCTAACCTCATGAATTAGCTAAGGATATAAATACATCAGTAGCCAGGAGGCTGAGTTAGCTTGAACATTGCTGGAGACCTGAAATCACTTCCTGTGAGAGCCTAGTTTAAATGCCTACCAGGTATTTAAATGCCTACCACCTCAGTAAGGGCTGGATATAAAGAAGACAAAACAGAAAACAATTCCTGCCCTCAAGAATCTTCCATTCTGTTGGAGTTAATAACTTATGGTTAAAAACTAGCCTTTGACTCTTTGGTCATCTTGGCTGAGACAAACATTTTCTTTGCTTCTGCAGTGTTTGGATCCAGGCCAGTTAGCTGTTTGCTGGGGACAGATGGGACAGAAGTGGCCTCTGGGGGAGTTTGGAGTTACCTTTTTTAATCTTGCTTTCATCCCTGCAGCTACACAGAGGAATGCTTTTTATTCAAGGAGATTAAAAAGCAATCTAATTGGTTGCATTGAGGAAAGGTCAAACCATTACTGCCAATTTAGATAACAAACCCATGGGGGCCTTTTCCATTCTTGGACCAGGAGAGTTTATGAGAATAACCTCACTTGCAGTGGGGTTCTGTGTCGTTAAGAGATCTCCAGAGTTAAAAACACTGAGGCTTCATTGAAAGTGGTTTTTATTGTTACACTCTTCTTCTCAAAAAAATCTTTTAAAAATGATTTGTAGGCAGGTTGAGCAGGTAATGAAGCATTGAAGTCAGGGAGACTTGACACTGAATCCTGCCTCAGTCATTTACTAGCTGTGTGACCCCAGGCAAATCACTTCACCTCTGTCTGCCTCAGTTTCTTCATCTGTAAAATGGGGATGAAAATAGCTCCTACCTCACACGGGTTGTTGTGAGAAGCAAATGAGATAACCTATGTTACTTTCCTAACCTTAAAATGCTAGTTAGCTAGCTAGCATTGGTATTACACACTCTTACTTAGTTATTATTATATTATATTATTATTTATCGTTATGGAGTATTACACATCCAGAACCAGAGTACTGTGATGTCCAGAATGGAAGACAGTATGGCCTGACCGGGGCAGGGGACAGTAAGACCATCCCCTCTCTCATCCTGCACTCCTTGTCCCTCAGGGCCACCTGAGAATTCATGGGCCCTTTTGATACCATAATACACTCCTGAGCCAGTAATCAGATCCCCCCTTTCACTTTTAAAAATGGCTGAAGTTGATTCTGCTTCAAATGTCTTCCATGTTGACTCAGCCACACTGAATCCTATTTGCTTAGGGACTTTGAGAAATTGCCTGTTGTAATTTGGTGTGAATAGAATGGGATGTGTTTCCTGGAGGCAGTGAAGCTCCGTTTGCTTTACTGTAAGGTCGTTAGTAAATATCCTCTTAAAAAAGAGAGGTAGATGGTGCAGTGGCTAGAGCACTGGACTTGGAATCAGGAAGACTCTTCTTCATGAGTTCACATCCGACCTCAGATCCTTGACTGTGTGACTCTAAGCAAGCCACTTCACCCTGTTTGCCTCAGTTTCCTCATCTGTAAACTTAGCTAGAGAAGGAAATGGCAAACCACTCCAGTATCTTTGCCAAGAAAACCCCAAATGGGGTCGTGAAGAGTTGGACACAACTGAAATCATTTAACAACAAGAAGTTTGGTATAGTGCCTAGAGTTCTGGACTTGGAGTCAGGAAGGTAAGGATTCGATTCTTACCTTGGTCACTTATGAACTGTGTGGCCCTGAGCATATTGCTATTCTACCTGAGCCTCAGTTTCCTCATCTGTAAAAGGAGAGAATATTACTTGTCCTGAAGATAGAATGAAATACTGTATATAAAGCATGTTGCAAACCTTAAAGAACTATATTCATAGAGTTCTTAATAAAAAAGACTTCATGGTATGGTGAAAAATGTATTTGAGTTATAGTAAGAGGATCTGAGTTTGAATTCTGACTGTTACTTAGTGACTGTGACTTTAGGCAAGTCACTTAATCTTTCTGGGTGTCAATTTTTCCTCTGTAAAATGAGATCATAAGTTTTGTATTTCCTGCTTTTGGGAAAAGTACTTTGTAAACTGTCAAGAACTATGATTATATTGATATAAAGGTAGGGGAGGGAACAAACATTTATTAAGCACCTACTATGTGCCAGGCACTGTGTGCTAAGTGCTTTTAAAAAATTTATTTCATTTGACCCTATGAATAGGCGCTATTATTATCCTCATTTTACACCTGAGGAAACTGAGGCAAACTGTTTAAATGATTTGTCCAGGGTCACAAAACTAGCAAATGTCTGAGGCTAGATTTGAGCTCAGATCTTCCTTACTCCAGGCTTAACTCTCTCTCAACTGTGTCACTAGCTGCCTGGGAATTTGCATCAATTGACCCCAAGTTAACAACTTATTCTCCTTCCTTATGCTAGGAGGGGAAACAGAATAGATTTTGAGCTGGAAAGAATTTGAGAGCTCATCTCATTAAGTCTTCTCATTCTACACACAAAGAAACATTTTACAGAAAGGAAAAGTGAGTCACTTAGAGTCATCACAAGCAACAGCTTCCAAATTTGAACTCAGGTCATCTGACTTCCAAATCTAATACTCTTTCCACAGCCTCTTACCAACGAATTAGGCAGCATTCCTGGGAAGGCGTGAGATGACAATGTGATGCAAACCATCCTTGAAAGTGTGGAATGAAGAGAAATAGAGGCAGAGCTGTAGTCAGGAAGTTTTGTACATGGGACCAGCAGTGGCAGGGTAGAGGAGAGAGTACCAGGACTGAGGAAGTATACTCCAAACTATTTGATGCTTTCTAGCCTAGAGGTTTGCTGCCATGCTAGTAGCTTTTTGGCTACCAGAGGGGGGAAGCAGGCTGAAGATGACACTTTATGTGCCCTCCACAATTTGGTGCTCTCAGGCAAAGCCCCAGCTGTCCCACCCTAGTTACGACTCTAGGTACTCTTTCTTGTTTTCTTTCTAAAGAGGCTCACAGAGGGGTGAATTATGCAGAAGACTTCCTCAGACTGCTTACTTTAGGATGGGAGGGGTGATTTGGAGAAGAGAACTTTGTGTTCTGTCTGATTTGAGTGATGGCTAGACAGTCTTCGAGTCCACAGGAGCCTCATTTTCTTTCACCTCTCCTGACTTTCAGCATCCTATCAGCATTTTTCCTGCTTTGAACTTGGTTTTCAAAGTTATTTGGTTTCTTCTTTCAGTTTTTACTATTTGCCAAGCTGTGCTGCTTAAAATGCTTGGCAGAGCAAAGGGAAGCAATATCCTACCCCAATTATGCACTAACGGTCCTGCCAGCATCCTCACGCATCCCTTTCCAGATCACGCCCCATCTTTGCTCTGTTTGCTTACACATTTTCACATTTATTACAGCATTCTGGCATGCTGAGGTACTAAAAGAGGGAGCTAAACAAAAGCAATCACATCAGGGGATGAAAGCACCTTGGTACCCAGGGATGCTCAGACACCTGCAATTGTCTGAACCAGGCAGATGTGAGGATATTAATTTTCTGTTGCTGATTATGCCAACACACACTCAAACAACAGTTGTTCTGATGTTTCCAATAGGTTTGGAAGATAATGAGTGTCTAGAATTCCTGGCTTTTTCTTCCTCTACTCTCCTTTCTTGGGCATCCACTGTATCCTTCTCTTTGCCATCTGACCCTCATCTCCACTTCCTGGATGGATGCATCATTCTTGGAGCCAGCTCAGTAGAGGAGTGCCTGAGCAGATATCTCCTTACAACTGGCATTTCCCCAAAAGGTTTGGTTTCCAGATGGTCTCAGCTACCCCTTGATAAGCACTTCAACTCTGAGTATGTGAATTTTGGGAGCTGGATTTTAGAGGTTCTGTGGCCTCCTTCTCAGAGTGGTTATTTACGACGTGGTGGGGACCTGCCCTGTGTCTGTCCCTTGCTCAGGAATTGGTTAGAGGCACATCAATTTAGAGCCAGATGGGCCCTTAGAGGTTGTCTAGTCCAGTGCCTGCATTTTAAACACAAGGAAATTGTGACCCAGGCAGTTAAGTGATTTGCCCAAGGTCACACAGGCTGTAAGCTATGGATCCAGGAAAACCAAATTAACTATTGCTATTGAAGGGCATGCCAATTTACTGCCCTGTCTGACTCTAGTTGGAATCTCTGTGGTTCTCAATTCTAAGATGCCCTAGGCTGGAGTTTTCTTCTCTGCCTGCCACTTCTTGCTGCTTCAGACTCATCCATGTCAGCCCCATCTCTCTGGGATTCCTATCCCACTTTTCTCTGCTCTTCTGATGTGCCCTTTGGAAGCTCTCTTCTATTGTTAACATTTTATCTTTTATATTAGGACTGAACCCTATTCCCTAAAATTACTTTGTATGTGTGTATATATATATGTATGTATGTATGTATGTATGTATATGTATGTATATATATATATGTTTTGCTTACTTATATTGTTATTGTTCAGTCATTTCAGTTGTGTTTGACTCTTCATGACCCCATTTGGGGTTTTCTTGGCAAAGATACTAGAGCGGTTTGCCATTTCCTTTGCACACATACACACACATGTGTATTTTTTGATATTTCTTTATAAATGTAGATATTTTCTCCCCGATTGAATATAATTTCCTTGAGGGCAGGGGCAATTTCATTTTTTGTTTTTGTACCCTTAATGTCCTGTTTAGTGCTTGGTGCATAGAAGATGCTTGAGAAATGTTTGTTGATTATGTGATTGTTTGGAAAGACTTTAGCTTTAAGAACTAAAAAAAAAGTACACGGGACAAGGAACAAAAATGAAAGAAAATTGTCGTTGTGCCTTTGAAGTGACAACATCAGGACTGACCCACTTGCATACTGTTGACAACTCAAAAGTTGACAGCTATGTATTACACATTTCAGTAAAATCACCGCCTTTCAATTTCATGCTATTCTTTTATAACTTTTAGGAATGTGGCTATTCTAAAAGATTTTTTTTAAAAAGGTAGAGCTCTATAATTTCATTAGTATGGGGATTTCCTGGTGTGGAAACTCCCTCCACTGAATGCAAATCATCTACTGCATTGTAAATTATAATCTTGGAAAGCTGGGTGGGCAGTGAGAAGTTAATGACTTGCCCATGGTCACAAAGCCGATTTCTGTCAGAAGTGGGGCTTGAAGGAAGTCTTCCTGACTCCGAAGCCACCATGCCCTGCTGACCACTTGGGCTGCTAACTAGTCAAAATGGGAATGAATTGTCCTTGATCATGCTCATGAGGAAAGGACGATTAGGGCTAGAGATCTTTGGCATGGGTTGACGAGCTGATGGAAGGGTTCTCCTGGCAGCTTTTCCAGCCCCCAGCTTTTGCTCATATTTGTTAGCTGACCTTTTTAAGGTCATGGTCTGGTGACCCTCCAAAAAGAAAAATGCTGGTTCCTCCCCAGTGGCATCAGGTTTAGATGAAGCATGACAAGCCCGAGTTCTATTGTTTTGATATTTGGGATCTCAGAAATTCCACTCTGCAGAAAGTTGAATGACAACTGTGGTCGAAAAGTCCAATTATTTTCAGCTTCCACTCTTTGGGGTGTGGAGCCACTCAGATCATTAAGGAGAGGTTTGTAAGGCTTGACAGCGGCAATTCCCATTTGGGCTTTCTGCCCCTGCCCATCCACCCTCTTTCTCCACAAAAGTAAGTTTCCAATGGCAAGAGTTTCAACCACAGAGAAAAGTGGAGAGATGAATAAAGAAATGAGCAAATACACAGCATTATGGGAAATAATTGGGCAGCTACAATGTAGTGGAAAAATCATTAGTTCTGAAATCAGCCTGGGTCTGAATTCAGATTCTGCTATTTACAACTAACTGTGTGACCATGGGCAAGAGACTACCCCTCTATGGGCCTCAGTTTCCTGGCTCTAAAATGATGAGGATGGGTTAGATTTTGTCCAGGTTTCCTCCCCAGTCTTAATCCTCTGTACCTGGCACCTAATAAGGGCTTAACAAAGAAATTACAAATTTCCCTTACATGCTCCAAATTGGCACCACCAGCAGAGTGAAGACCCTGAGCACGGTCTAGATCTTGGTGGCATTGTCATTTAATGCTGTCTCAAATATGAAGGCTCAGAAATATTGTTGGGGGGCATTCCATAGAACTTTAGCTTTACAAGATGCAAGAATCTGAAACCACCCATTGTTTGGAGAGAAGGAAAATCAATAACAGCTGACATTTATCTACCTCTCTTAGATTTACATAATGGAATCACAGACTTCTAGAACTGGCAGGGGCCTCAGAAGCAACTACTCCAGCTCATTCCTGAAAATGCTGCCTCTCTACAATATATCCAAGAGGAGAGCTAGCCACTGCTGGAAGCCACTCTCTAAACAGCTCATTCCACTTTTGGACAGCTCTCATTGTTAGGATATTTTCTTCCTGATATAAATTCTAAATGGCCTCTGTAACTTCCATATGTTACACCGGGTTCATCCTTTTGGGACCCAGTAGAAAGTCTCATTCCTCTTCCACGTGACAGCCCTCCAAATATTTGAAGACAACTACCACATTTCCCTTAGGTCTTCTCTAGGTTAAACATTCCGCTTTTTTCGGTTGGTATTCACATGGCATGAGCTCTCAAGTACCAGTTCCAACAGGGAGCATATCCTGATCTCCCTAGTTACTATGCCCTCCACCCAGAGAAAGTACTTTGTATGTGCTTTATATATACTTTTCTGGGCTGTCTTCCCCAATTACAATGTTGAGTTCTTGAGGTGGGAGGGATTATTTCCCTTCTGTCTTTGTAACCCCAGCCCCTAACACTGTGACCACTCCTTAGTAGGCAGATAATAAATGCTTGATGAAGTATGAGTGAATGAACTTCCCAATTTCATCAGCATTTTGAAGATTTGTTTGCTTATATTCCATAGCATCAACCCTGTTTAGAGGGCTCATGGCAGAAACAGCCACATCTTGGGAAAAAAAAACTGGGACTATGTTCACTTTTATTTATTGATAAAACAACCTTGAGGCAACTGAACATGACTTATGCTTCCTGCAGATTAGGGGCATCTAGAGCAGACATTTTCAAAAACCAGCTTCTGAAATACTCAGGAGGTTGAGTCTTCAGATAGGGGTGGCAATAATTTATTTGAACTGTTGTAACCAAAATGCAGCTTGACTTTCTCTGCCTTTGGCTGATGAAACCAATCCTATTTTTTTCATATGTTCAGTGACCATCTAGAGTGTTTGCCCGATGTAGAAAAATCAAGCCCTTCCTACTAGGGAGTCACTGTTTTTACATATAATCTACTTTTAATGTTTTTCTTTGTGTGTAGAAATGTTCTTGTTTGTTGGTGTTGGTCAATTTCAGAATAAGAAAAAGTTGAAAAATAAAAATAAAAAAGAAATGAGTTCAGGTGGGGCTGATCACAGGACTGATTTCAGTCATAAGTGTTAATAACCCCCCTGGAAAGTTACAAGTAATTCATTCATCTCTGCCACCATAGAATAGAAATGTAATGCAGCTAATTTAAAATTATTAATGTGACAAGCCTCTTGACTGATCACATTAGGACTTATGAATACCATTTCTATGTACTGTTTTGGTGAAAGTTTTGTATATTAGGGTAGTGAGAACTGATTATTATGACTAAAAGATGAATGTGTATAGGATATAGTTATACCCAAGATTATATTTTGACAGCACTTTAAAGTTTAGGTTTACGAAGTGATTTAAATCAATCAACAGAAAAACATTCATGCAGGATCTACTGTGTACCAGGTACTACACTTTCCTCATTAACAGAATTGCAGTAATGCTGTTAATATCAGTTTTATAGTGGATAGAAGCAGATCTTGAACTCAGAAAGACCCAGGTTCAAGTCTTACCTCTGGTTCAGGATGGCTGTGTGACCCTGGGGAAGCTCCCTAACCTCTCAGTGCCCTAGGCAATTCTAGGGCATCTCTCTAGTTGCAGAGCAGGTCCTGGATAACCATTGATAGGGGGAATTCCTTACCAGGATTCCGCATATCAAGAAGGTAGATACTATAAGTATTACTATCCTCTCCGTTTTACAGATGAGGAAAATGAGGTACTGAGAGGTTGACTTGCCCAGGGTTAAGCAGGTAGTAAGTAGATGTCAGATCCAAGTCTTTCTCACTCCAGGTCTAATTGTTCCCTCCCCTCCCCCAGTGTAATACCTAAGGGACTCTCACCCCTTCATTGAAAGCTAAAAGGGAATTTTAGGATCATTTATGTCATAATCCCTGATTCTGGACAGGTGTAAACCTCAAATAGACTATAATAATTGTCTACCTCTAGTTTTGAAAATCTCTAGAGGAGTTCAAAGAATGGTGTGGCGGAAAGAGCAGAAGATTTGGGGTCAGAAGACCTGAATTCAAAACCTTGCTCTCCCACTTACTGGTATATGACCTTAAGTAAGTCATTTCCCTTCTCTGGGGTTCAGTTTCCTCATTTGTAAAACAAAAAGTTTGGGTTGTATGACCTCCAAGTTCCCTTCCAACTCTGAATCTGTGTTCTTAATGCCAGGTCAGAGGCTTTAATTTTTTTTTAAAGGTATGCTAGATGGAGAAGAATTTGGAACTATGCCCATAGGGCAACCAAACTGTGCATACCCTTTGATCCAGCAATACCACTACTAGATCTGAATCCCAAAGAGATCATGAAAAACAGAAAAGGACTTTTGTGTGCAAAAATAATTATAGCAACCCTTTTTGTGGTGGCAAAATATTGGAAGTTGAGTGGATGCCCACCAGTTGGGGAATGGCTGAGCAAGCTGTGGTATATGAAGGTAATGAAATGCTATTGTGCAGTAAGAAATGATGAACAGGCAGATTTCAGAAAAATCTGGAAAGACTTGTATGAACTGATGCAAAATAAAATGAGCAGAACTAGAAAACATTTTACACAGTATCAGCAATATTGTGTGATGATCAACTATGAATGACTCAGCTCTTCGCAGCGACACAACTATTCAAGACAAGTACAAAGGACTCATAAAGGAAAATGCTATCCATATCCAGATAAAGAACTGATGGATTTTGAATGCAGATTAAAACATATTTTTTTCACTTACTTTATTCTTTTCTTGTGTTTTTTTCCTTATGTTTCTTCTTTCACAACTGTGACTAATATGGAAATATGTTTTACATGATAGCACATGTATAACCTATATCAAATTGACTACCATATTAGGAAGAGAGGAAAGGAGGGAGGGAGAAAAATTTGGAACTCAAAATCTTGTAAAAATGAATGCTAAAAATTGTCTTGACATATAATTGGTAAAAATTAAAACACTATTAAAAATAAAGGTGTCACTAGTGGTGATGACGAAAGGACTCAAAGAATCTTTCTACAATTAGTCTGAATGGGAGGAAAAAGTAATCAGGCAATTTATGTTTCTATAATGAAAACTTGATCTTAGCACCCAAAACCTGTGCTTAATTTCCCCAATTCCAGTACAGGAAAGCTGGAAAGGGTCAATGAAAAAAATTAGAAATTCTGTAGGTATTGTTTTTGATCCTAACCTTGTATTTATTCTATATAGAAAGGATATCCCAAAAGTCTTAGTGCAGTTTTAAACTTTAATAGCTTAAAATTTTACTAAGACTTTTGGGACACTCTATATGTATACACATATATCTGTACATGTATATGCATATATATATATATGTATACACACTATATATATATGTATATATCTATTTATATGTGTATATACCCCAATAGAACATAAACTCCTTGAAAGCAGGTATTATTGAGTTTCTTTGTGTCTATCTCCAATGCCTGACTACTCAAGAATGTGCCTGACACATAACAATAGTTATTCAAGGTTGCTGATTGTTTAATTTCGGTCTTAAACAAACCAAAGCATGGTCTATCAGGTGAAAAATTGGTACCAATGGCAGAAAAACAAGTCATCTGGACCCCATAGCCTATCCATGACCTGTGCCCACTATGTGGTGGGGAATCCCTGTCTCCTACTGGGCAGCTGTGGTCTCCGACCTTGGAGAGGCTCTCTCCATGAGAGTGATAACTATAGATATAGTGTTTCCTTGTCCAGATAGGGATGAAGAATAAAGTAGCAACCAAATAGGGTGGTAATAGACATCCATACCTGACACGGGAAATCAGCCTTGTGTAGATAAGGTATCACTTGGTAAATGGAGGAAGCTGACTTCCTGGGTGAATTCTGGCCCTGGAATGCTAACTGAGGGACATTTTCAGATCCAGAACTCAGAAAGTGCTGAGAATAACTGCAGAAGTCAGCCTGAGAAGAAATGCGTGCTATGTGCCTACCTCAGAATTAATTTTCATTGTTTCTTCTGTGTGGTAAAGTAAGAGCTTTTGTCCCGTAGAAGTTAGGTTAACGTAGACCTGGAGGCAGGGATACTGAGAGTGCTTCCGACAGTCCGGACCACAATTAAAAGAGCAGTTAAAAGCTTCTGTGATGGAAGCATTAAGCAATGTGCATTGAGACTCTTCTGTCCATACACTGAAAAGAGGAGAGAGAGAGAGATTAAACGACTTGTTCATGGTCACAGGGTAAGTGTTAGAGGAAGAGAATTTGAACCCAGGTCTTGTCTGCACACCCAGCTCTGTACCCACTATGCTGGGATACTTCACCAGGATTATAGGTTAAAGATGATTTGGAAGAAGTTTTCACATCAGTGAAACCACAGGTCTTTGATGTATAGGAAGTTCTAGGTCTCACCCATCTCAGTCTAGTTCTCATTTGTCTGATATGTTTTCCTCCATTCCCTGACCCTCCATCTGTGCCAGGCTTAAGTCCAAGAACCCCAATGGGCCACGAACAGACTTTGTACAGTCAAATGTTCATAGATTCCTAGAATTAGAGTCGGGAGGGTTGTAGACACCATCTAGTCCAACCCCTTCATTTTATAGAGGCACTAACTAGCCCCTGGGGAGGATGTAACTTGTCCTTATCACCTAGGACATAAACATCAGAAACAGAATTTGGACCTAAGTCTTCCTGACTGAGTCTAGTGCTCTCTCTATCCACTAATCCTGAGATATCAAACTCCAGCAGAAGGTTGGGACTCCTGAGTGCAGCCAAACCAGCTTAAAATGTAATTGTGAAATGTTTAACAACATGAATAAAAATACAATACAAAATAGATAATGTTAACTTGTGGTTTTTAAGTCAGTACATGGCAGGAAGAATCTATTTAATTTCTGTTTGGTTTTGACACCACTGCATTAAACCACACTGTCTCTCTCTTAGGAAATTGTTGTTGTTGAGTTATATCCGACTCTTCATGATCCAATAGGTAGTTTTCTTGGCAAAGATACTTGAGTGGTTTGCTATTTCCTTCTTCAGTGGATTAAGGCAGATAGGGTTAAGTGACTTGCCCAGGGCCACACAGCTAGTGCATAACCTGATGCCACATTTGAACTCAGGTCTTCCTGATTCCAGGCCCAGCACTTTATCCACTGAACCATCTAGCTGCCTCATTCTCTTAGGAAAATCTAGATACAAATTCTACCTTGGGCATGCCTAATACTGTACGGCTAAGTGGCAGTATTTTCAAAGTTCAGAAACAACTCAGATTCTAGTACATTTTCAGCAAGTCAATCCATTGATCAATATTTATTAAGCACCTGCTCTGTGCCAGGGACTATGCCAACTACTAAGAGATAGAAGAATGAAAAGATCCCCACTAACATGAACCAATAGGGGAGAAAACAAGTGCATAAATATGTATAACAGATATAAAGTTAATAAATACATATATGTATGCACACAATATACTATACATGTATATATATGTATATAGATATACATATATATGTGTATGTATGTAGATATATACATTATATATGTATGTGTGTATATATATATGTATATATATATATATCCAATTGAGAAGAGGCATTTCTCTAGAAACTGAGGGGTAAAATAACTTTGCCATTAGTTATCTTCTGCAACTCTAGAACAAAGACGGGTGTAAATTCTCCCCAGCTGCCAATTGGATTGGTCATGGTTATTAAAAAAAAGATTGTTTTTGAACTTGATGATCAATGACTGCATTTGTAATTAGGAAGTAACAGAAGGACAATCAATCTCCAGCTTCTGGATATAAGCTGATTCCCCTAGTGACTGTGGGCCGCTGGTGCTTACTGTCCTGGTTTAGCAGGTTGCAGGTAGGGTCCCTTTACTCCCACCCTTTGCCCTTCCAAGGGCATGGCTTTGTAGGAAAGGGGTGGTAGGAGGCTAGACTGGGTAGACCAAGGCCATCCCAGAGTAAGCGTTAAGGAAATTGTTATTTCCTGAGTGAGGCGTGGTGAGGCATGGTAGGACTTTGCTGACACATCTGTGGGGAGCCTTAGGTGGGTCCTGGGCAGGCATAGTGGCTTTGGAGCTTTTTCAGAGCAAGCGTGACCCCAAGCCTAAAGTCTAGGCTCTTTCTTGGAGAATTAACGTAGCTGAAAGCCATTAGCAGATTTTAGTGGAGCCATAGCGACTGTGAAAGATGATGCCTTAATTTCAGCAAATGGCTGTGTTTCAGTTGGATTTTGTTTCTAAAATGAAGGTATTAATTTACATGGATAAATGGGTGCTATAAAGTAGCTTTATTCCCCTTTCTAAATTAAACTTCCATTTTTCACAGGAGAGAATCTTGTTTCTGTAGGCAACTGAACATTGCCATGATTTCCCAGGGGACTTAAGTAAGTCATATGCTTTTGTTTTGCTGTAGTAACCAGCCCTTTAATTTATGGAAAATAGCCAGTTCTAGGTGAGTTGATGGAATGAATGGATTCTATGACTGTACCTTGTAAAACTAGGTATAGCTAGAAACTAGCTTTCTGTTTCCTAATGTTTTTTTCCCTTGGACTTCTATTTTTTTGTTTTGATCAATAATTTTATTGGTGTAGCACAATGGTGTCAAATTCAGCTGGAAATGGGGGCCACTAAACTATACATAAGGATTTCTCTGTGGGCCACATGTTGACTCAGAAAACCACATATTCATATTATCTATATTTTATTGTATTTTTATTTATTTTGTCAAACATTTCCCAATTACATTTTAATCTGGTTTTGACACACTTGGGAGTGTTGTGGGCTGCATGTTTGAGTTTTCTGGCATAGAGAACTCCCTGTACCAATCCAAACAAGCACCTTTTCTGCAGCTTGTAGTCTTAGAAAGTTGTCTGTAGCATTGAGAGGCTAGGTGCCTTATCTGGGGTCACACAGCCAGTATGTGTCAGAGGCAGAACTTAAACTCAGGTCTTCCTGACTCAGAGGTCAGTTCCCTTTCCATTATACCTCTTTCTATTCAATTTAGTTTTACTTTTAAGTGATTTTTCAGTCATGTCTGACTCTTCATGACCCCATTTGGGGTTTTCTTGGCAAAGATACTAGGGTTGTTTGCCATTTCCTTCTCCAGCTCATTTTACAGATGAGGAAACTGAGGCAAACAGGGTTAAGTGTCTTGCCCAGGGTCATATAGCTAGTAAATGTCTGAGGCTGGATTTGAACTCACAAAGACCAGTCTTCTTGACTCCAGGCCTGGTGCTCTATGCACTATGGCACCACCTAGCTGTCATATGGCAAATATAAAACTGGAGACAGTAGAAAGAGTTGAGAGTCAGAGGAGTTGGATTCAAATTCCACCTCTGATGTTTACTGTATGTGTGACCTTGGGTAAGCTCCTTGTTTTATTTATTCTGTTTGCATCCCTAGTGCTTACCAAACTACCTGGAACATAGTAGGTGCTTAATAAATACTTGTTGATAACCATTCTGTGCTTTGGTTTCCTCATCTCTAAGATGAGGGCATTGGACTACTTGGCCTTTACAATGCCTTTCACTGGATTCTGATCTAGATGATCCTACCAATGATGATTAGAATCCTGGTTTTGGTCTTGGACTGTTGGGTAGGATGGTTGAGTGTGGGTCTTGGGAAAAGGGAAGAATGGTTGGAAAAGAAGCATATAGGAATGTAGAGCCAATTAACCAGATGTTTCTGAATAATATCGAAAATTACCTTTGCATGTATGAGCGGAGGAGTGTGATTCCTAGCAGAAAGTACATCATGATGGCACAGACCATCATAGCCAGTCCCAGGAGAATGGCCCGGTCCTCTCCAGCTTTCAGAGCGGTGACTGTTTTCCTTTTGTCCAGAAGGTCGTGGTCCCTGATTTTTTGGTAAATATTTCTGAGGTTGAAAATAATGATTCTCATGTGAACATCACATTTTGTCAATGTATCCATAGAGGGTGCACTGCCACATCTTTGGGAGCAGGGAGGGCTTAGGGAGGCCCATTAAATCTTTCTGCAATGGCCACCATGCTTGGACTCTTGTGGACACAGCAGCCCTTCTATCCCCAGGGGGTACCTAAAACTACAGCTGAGCACAGAAAAAGCACTGCCCCCTGGTCTGTGAAATTCACACGCCGATTTAGTTTTTCCCCTAAAATTTACTTTTAGTGCCTGTCTTTACCCTCCTGTCCCCGAAGAAAGAACACCCCTTCTTCTTCACCCTTTAAACAATTTTCTGGGTTTATCTTGGGCCACTGATCCCTGAACTTCATGCTCCCTGCTCTCAAGAAATTGGCAGATTTCAATAGCCATTCGTGGTTGGTCTATTTACAATTTCTAATGACCGAAGAAAAACATTCATCCGAACAAATGTCAATACACAGTCTGGATCTGTCAACTTTGTCACTGAGTTGCTCCATGGTATGCAAACGGTGAAACTTTTTTGGGTAAGCTCTGGACCATTGAATTGTTTTTGCTTTGGGTGGTGATGGTGTGGGAGGTGTCTATTGATTTAAGATTAATGAGGAAGGTGATAAGACAGTAATGACCTGGAGTTCTTTTTCACACATTAATGCTTGGGGGCTTAGAAATGTGTTGACAGAATTCAAATTAGAATCTCCCCCTCCCCACCCCGTTCTTCCCCAAATACTATCTTTTTCCTTTGGTGGTACTTTATGTGCTTGTTTTTAAAGAAAATTGTTCATAGAGCATGGGGAAACAATGTTAACTATTTTACTAGAGCATCAACCCTTCCCCAAAAGTTTTCCCACTCTCCTGTTTAAAATGACAGGCGTTGTAGGACAAAAGATTTGGATGTTGAGAAGAAGGAAAATACCACCCCCCCC